ATATAGCCAAAGGATATGCTATTAGCAATAATATATTTAGGAAACAGTGCAAAGTAGTGCAATTAAAATTTTTTTAAATGTAAGGGTGTCCCCCACTGAGCACCGGAGAAAGACCATCTTAGGTGGCTGCTGGGATCTGCCATGCATGCACTTGCTGAGGATAAGGGCATAACACTGCTACTCACTTTCTTGTTCCAAGACTAATCCTATGCTGCCTCAGCCCTGAATGTCGTGACCATGTTGTTTTTAATCACCGTGACCCTTAATTTTAAAGTATAAGCCAAGTGTTGTAAACACTTGGACATGAAGTGGTGGAGGGAGCAGAGCATTCCTTCCAACTAGTAGGTGCTGAGGGGACCACACACTGGCTGAGCTGCCACCACTGAATGCAACTGCTGTTTATAATGCCATCTTCTTTCTTTTGTATCTACATCCACACGATTCCCAAAGTCAATGTTACTGCATGAATAAACAAGGATCAATGCGAAGTCAATACAGTAGGCCATTTTATAGGAAAGAGCTAAGTGTTTGTACAGCCAAGAAAATATCTGAAGGTCTTAGGGGACAGACCCATGGATCAGTACATGTTAAAAATTCTGAAGACAATCCAAATCACTGTGTCTGAAGATGGTTCAAGGACAGGTAGCAATTAAGTGTCAGAAGTTTTCACTGATTCTTAGTAAACATGAGGACAATGCAGATGATTCTATCTCCCCCCTCCTTCCTTCCCCCAGTTCTATGACACTTGACATTGACTAAGACATCATTAATCTAATAACAGGTTTTTAGGGGGTAAAAAGCATTATCAGATTAAATACATAAATGATTTTAAAATACTTCCTGATTTAAAAAATATTAAAACGTGAACTGAAAAATTATGGTATATGTTAGTGTAATGCTTTCTTGGGAAGGACTGTCCTTTGTACCTAAATTATATCTTGATTTCTTTTTTAATATTAAATATGTCTTTTCTTTTATGAAATGATGATGACAGAAAATTATGCCCAGCTTTTTTTAAATGTCCTAAAGTGCCGACAACCTTATGATGGGCTCCCAATTTTCTCCCACAATTTTACCAGTCATGAATCTCAAAAAATCTGGAATCTCAATCACTTTCCATCTAGGACTATAAAATCACTTCTAATAGTTCAGTCCTGTCTACCTAAAATGATCCAAAAATAAAGAGTCTATTGCTTATCTCACTCAACCGTTAGACAGAAATCCTTGGGGGAAAAATATTTTTTTTTCCTCCTGTTGAAGTTTGCTTTCCTCCCTGTTCCCACCAGGACCTACTTCCGTGCACTGGTTTTAGTCCTATCCCCTGGAATAACACATCCTTCGGAATAGCTGGGTAAAACAGAAAAAAAAAAAATCTGTTTGAAGGTATCAGACAACTAGTGAGGTAGTCATTTCCTGGACAAAAGGTGTGATAGTCAGTTTTATAGTCATCTTGGGGAGCCTACAGTCCTATTATCTAATCAAACACTAATCTAGGTGTTGGTAGATGAGATTAAAGTCTATAATCACTTTAAGGAAGATTAACCTAGATAATCTGGGTGGGACTGATCCAATAATTGAAAGCCTTTAAGAACAGAGCTGAAGTTTCTCCGAGGAAGAAAAAGTTTGACTGTGAACTGCAGCTTGAACTCCTGCCCAACAGTTCTAGCCTGCTCTTCCTGATGGCCTAGTCCAGTCCCATAATTGTGTAAGCCAACTCCCTGCAATAAATATCTTACTATATATATGTATATTTATACACAGATAGATGATATATTACATCACACACACACACACACACACACACACACACACACACAGAACCATAATCCATAATTAAAACCTTCCCATAAAAAAACAAAAAACAAAACTCCAGGATCAAATGGTCTGACTAGCAAATTCTTTCATACCTTTAAAAAAGAAATTACATCAATCTTACTTACACAAACTCTTCCAGAGAATAGAAAAAAAGGGACTATTTTCCAATTTGTTCTGTGAGGCCAGCATAACATGGACCCAAAACTTGATAAGAACATTATCAAAAAGGAATATAGGCCACTTTCTCTCATGAACATAAGCATAAAAATCCTAAACAAATCATTAAAAAATCAAATCCAGATACATAAAAAAGGATAATACATTATGACAAGGACTAGCTTAACACTCTAAAATCAATTAGCATAATTCACTACATTAAGACTTAAAAAAATGTTTCAGAATAACTAAAATAGCATGAAAGAGTACTGATATATTAGGTTTTAAAAAGGCAGGTTGAAACAAATATACTCATAGAAAAATATAGAAATATTAATAATTATTCTCCCTTAACTGTAGGCTCATCATGTGATATATTCATCATGTAAATATTCCAAAGTCTCTAAAATGAATGTGTTATTACTTTTAAAATGAGAAAAAATGAAAATGTATCTCTAAACACAGGGGACTCTTCAAGAAAATAATGGAATTAAAAAAAAAAAAGCTTTGAACAGTTTGGAGAAAATTTTAAAAGTTTAAAAATAAAACAATATATTAATTACTACTTAAGAGATTTTGACATTTTCCTATCTAGTTAAAGAGGAAATATGCTTACCAGACAAATTAGGAATTTACTTTAAATATATGACATAGTTTCTCAAGCAGACTATTCAATAGAATAACAGGATAATCTTGATAGCTTTAAATCCAAAGCAATGACTTAATACAGAGGCATGTGTTTCTTAGGATACTCAACAGCAAGTATGCTCCTAAGTAATAGGTAGAAGGTAGGACAGGTAGGCAGGCTCAGGATAAAGGATGCTGCTTGAGCCCCAGGGCACAGGGTGCTTAACAATGAGGGCATGGGAGCACTCGGATTACATGGCATGTAATTCCCAAAATAGACTGTTATGAGCTAAATTGTGTTCTCAAAATTCATAGTTGAAGTCCTAAATCCTCAGAATGTGACAGTTTGGAAAAAGGGATTTAAAGAGATAATTAATTGAAATAAAGTCATTAGGGTAAGCCCTATCCAATATGACTGGTGTCCTTTTAAGAGATGAGGACACAGACAGGCACAGAAGGAAGACCATGTGAAGACACTGGGAGGAGAAGGCAGCTATCTACAAGCCAAGGAGAGTGGCCTCAGAAGAAACCAACCCGGCCAACATTTGATCTCAGACTTCCAGCCGCCAGGATTGTTGGAAAACAAATTCTTGCAGTTGTATCTGTGTAGTAGTTTCCTAGGGCACTTGGCAGCCCTAGCAAACTAATACACAGATAACAACTGCAAAAATTAAATTTCATTCTCTCCCACCAAAAAGGTTTAGGACAAACACATGGAAAGGAGTCTTATGTGGAAAGGTCACAGATTTTTCCACTACACCCCAGTGCTTTCCAAAATTTTAGTAAGGTTCCCCCTGTTTTAGTAACAACAGAGAATTTACTTTATATCTATACTTATCACAAAGCCTTAAAATTTCAACAATGGAAAGGGCAATCTAAAGAAAATAGTCTCTTGAAATAAATTAAGGTATAATATTTTAAAAAACAAGTAACAGCCAGCATTTGCTGAAAACCTAAAATGTCTCAGGAACAATTCTAAGCACTTTACATGAATTAACTCAGTCCTAGTAACTTTCTGAGGTAGGTACTATTACAATCACTATTTCAGGGCCATAGAAACTGACGAATACTTTATCCAAGCTAGTAAATGAAGGAGCTACCCAGGAAAGACTGGCTCCAAGCCCAAATTCTTACACTATCCAACAAAGTACAGTTACCCTGGAACAACGTGGGGTTAGAGGTGTTTGACCTCTCCATGCAGTCCAAGCTCCACATAAGCCTACTGCACACGCAGATTCCCAACTGCACAGTTGACCCTTGAATAACATGGGTTTGAACTGTGAGGGTCAACTGAAGTATGGTCATTTGAAAAAAAATCCTGTATAAGTGGAAGCGCGCAGTTCAAACCAGTGTTGTTCAAGGGTCAACTGTATAATGAGGGCACTATTGAGCATAAATCTTAATCGCTTTGGAGTCACCCGGATTTAAGTTTGAACACTGGCTCTGCCACTTACTAGGTGTATGACTTTAGGCAAGCTTAAGCTCTTTGTGTCTTAGATTCCTTTGCTATAAAATGAGACAATGGGCATAAAAGCATTTAGTACAGTGTCTGGAATGAATTGTTAAGCCCTTACTATGGTATTTCTAATTCTATTTTCATGAATATACAAGAACAATTCCACAATGTCTAATTTGGGGACTCCAAGAAAAAATATCAAAAGGTTCTCTTCTTTCATCCATATATCTTTCCTTCCTACTATACCAGAAATGCATATACTATTCCAATAATCTCATTTCCCATTAGAATATACTAAAGCATATTAGTAGTTACATCAGTCATATTCTGTCTCCCACAGAGATACCTAGTAACTTTGGTAACAACAGTATAGTATAGTTATGTGACAACTTCCTGAGATTCTGGACATTGCTCAAACATCTAACATTTAATAAAAATTCACCAGTGTACTTAACTTAACCTTTACTGAATCTTTTAAAAAAATATTGAGTTCATAACATCTCCTGGGATTACAAGATATCTACCTAATTGCTCTTATTTGTCCATTTACTACTTATTTCAAGCTTCAGAGTTCCTTATTTTGGTATTCCCACTGTTCATTTCTATGGTTAGATCACATTCTCCATCAATCTCCAATTTTCCAGATACTACTGCTTTTGCAGTCATGTGAAAGTCTCTCGATTTTCTTTATCTCCTTATAACTGAATTTCTCTGGACCTTTTCCACTTTTGAAACATTTTTCTTGAGATGATTTAGTGGGAAGAACACTAGGCTAGAAGCCAGGAGTCTTCACTCTGCCATCTCATCTCTCAAGATTCTCTATCTGAAAGACGAGAGAATTGCACCAGATAAATTTGTAATAGGTTTCCTTACATCTCTAAGCCTCGTTTTTCCACGACTCTGGGTCTCTTCCAACTAGAAAGCATTCAACATTCCAACAATTTACCTAAACTTTTTACTCCAGTTAGCCGAGGAGGAGCAGGCATGTTCAGATTCAGGGGCAGAGGAAGACACAATAATCAGGAAGTCCAGCACTATAGAAGGAAAGATGTGATATTTTGTGAACCAATAGAAAAAGATCAATTAATAAGAGAAAGCAGACACCAAAATGATACCAAAGACAGAAAAAAAGTCTGAAAAACACATAGCCTAAATCTAACCGCATTCCTAACACATCTCTTTGAAGAGGGACTAAGAAATAGAAAAAGCTTTTGGCAGCAGAGGTTATCCAGCCCTCACTTCTGCCTTGAGGAAGCAATGTAACTGTGCCATCTTTGCCATGTTGTTACCCAAATGGCCTAATACAGTGCTTTGTACAAAATTGGCATTACTGGGGTATTTGATAAATGAATTGTTTAGCTGAACTGAAAGCCCTCGTAAGTGCTACCGGTACTGCTACATACCAGGAAATCGGAGAGCTCAAGGCCATGGGAATTACATGGCTCCGGCTGCCCTGGTTCTAAGGGAATGAGGCTGAGTTAGCTGCAAGGGGGAAAACGCGGCCTAATGGCATTGCTGGTCTGAGGATTCTTAAAGCAGCCCCCAGAAGGAAAAAGTGTAGATTATTAGGCACTGGCTATCTCTAAACCACCAAGGCAATTTCATAATACGTATGAAAGTCATCTCCTACCCTGGTGTCAGAGTCCAACAAAACCCTATCTTTTCTGAAGCTCCCTTCCGGAGCCTGGTCAGGGGGCAGGGGAGAGTAAATCAACAGAGAAATAAATAAGGGAGTAGGGCAGTCCTAAAATTTCTCAGGCCAGTCCTATGGTGGCGTTTCTCAAAGTGTGGTCCCTGGATCACCAGTAACAAAGAACGGGAGAGGGTGCTAGCTTAAAATGCATACTCTCTCTAGAGCAAATCTCTGGTCGTGGTACTGTCATTTTTAAGGAACAAATTTAGGTTTGTTCTGGGAACTACTGTCCCAGAATTTGAGGGAGGGGAGTTGAGGGTGAAATTCTCTGACACTGGATTCATCATATTCCACTGGTATTACTACGGTTTTGGGGGACATTAAAAAAAAAACCAACCCAAACACCTCACTTTCTCAGGTAACCGCTGCAGCGAGTTGTTTTAACAACTACCATGGGCACAATTAAAGGGCCTGGAAAATGCATTTTCACAACCTGGTAAAACAGTTCCTCCACAGCCTTGTTTATCTTATTAGCTTGTTCGCTGGTTTATAAGTAAATCGGTTCAACCCGGGAATTTGCAGAAAGAATCACAAACTCCAAAACAGAAAAGGGTTTTGTTTTTTTTTCATAGTGCAGAGCTAGGCTTGTAAACCTGAAGACACTGTCTTGCTATAAAAAGTAAGATTTTATTTAAAAGAAAATTACCGGTTTGAGGCTCGCCCCAGCTCTTTTTCACCCTGAGCCACTGATGAAAGCTTGTTATTTGTGGGTGGCAGAGAAGGAAGACTTGGAAACAGGGGTAAAAAGAGCGAGCAAAATGCACTCTCTGCTTCAGAGTTTGAGAGGAAGCCCGACCAACTACATAATTTTTAATGAGTTCAATTAATTGCCAGAAAAGAAAACGCGCCTGCCAATGTTTTATCAATAAACACTCCGGACTTCTCGTCGTCTCTTCTGGCGGGATAAAAACACCAAAGGCCTGCAGAAAACAGTCAAGTTGTACTTCAGCTGTCCCCACGACTGTGTTTACGATTTTCATATAGGTCACCACCTTCCCCGGATCTTCAGACCTTATCCCCAGCCCGAAAACAGGCGCCCGGAACCTCTCTGCCGACATTTTTCCTCGCGATGATTTTACTCCCGCGGCCTTTCCATTGGGGGTCGGACCCAGCGGGCGTCCGTCCTGAGGTGACGTCCCCACCGCCCCCACACACAAAGTCAAGTCTCGTGGCCGTGCCCGTCGCCACTTACCTGCCGCTCCCCGCCGCGCTCTGGCCCTCGGGGCCCGAATCCGCCCGGGAGGCGCACCTACTGGGCGATTCGAGAGGACGCCGCCGGGACCTGCCTTTCAGCAGCGGCGCGCGCCCCCCGCCCTGGCCGGCGCGGCCACGCGGCTGAATCACCCGGTGCTTCACATTAAGAGTCCCCTCGGCGCGCGGGGCACGCCGGGAAGGCCGGGCTCCCTGCCCGCCGCCCTCGGCCACACGCTGGTGGGTGTCCCCTTTCCTTCCCGACACGCCCCACTGGTCCGCAGGACGGTCTCACGCCTGCACCGCCAGGGTAGATTCGATTTCTGAGCTGCGGATACCCTCTTTCAATTATTAAGGGTATAAAACGGAAAAGTTAGTGGTTTTCTGAATTGTAAAATAAGCTCACACAACCCCAGGACAATTAGTGCATATAGAAAATTGTGGAGCCCCGATCTTTCCATACATTTGGGGGAAGGAGGTAGTAAGAATGAAGTTCCTTAAACACGTTTTGCTTGGCAGCCCGATCCTGGGTGTGCATTCTGACCAAAAAAAGGGGGGGGGGGAACCCCACATATTTTTCAAACCTGGGGTTTAATTAAAATACATGCTATAACAAAGTTGAATTACAAATTTTAAATCAACCACAAGCAAATAATTGGAAAACCTGCTGTATTACAAGGAAAATATTTCAACATTCAAAAAAACATCTAGGTACGGTCCTGTAAAACGAATGCTAGAAAACATAGAAGGAAAGAAATAGCATCAATCCTTACTATCATGATTCCTAGTGGCTTTTGTACTTTTAACAGTTATATAATTAAAACGTTACACTGATTATGCAAATTGTTCTTTTTTAAATGTTGAAAAGCATATAAATTAATAGTAGCATGGTTTCTTAAATTTTGAGTCAACTTTTTCATCACAAAAGTTTCTAAAAACTAATTTGGGGCTAAGGATTAGGATTAGAGTTGAAATGTTAGGAATATGAGAAAATAATTTGATTCTCATTCCAATAGGTTGCAAACGGTTGCTGGATACTTGCACTATATAGCAAAATTGCGTTTTCAGGGTCAACAACATTAATTTTAAAAACTGAAACTATAAATTTTTTCATTACAATTTGATCTTGGAGGTCTAGAGTTCATTCCCCATTTCTACTCTTTCTCTTCACTTATAATGATTGTAAAGCATCCAGTACTGTTTCTATCAGGATGGGCTAAGTTATGATGCTGTTCTAGCCACCTGAAGGACAGGTGGCTCTACAGGGCAGCTTACCTCCTTGTGGTGACTCAGCAGTCCCAGCTGCTTCCATCTCTGGCTCTGTCAACACAACTCTAGGTTCCACATCAGGGATGGCAGGAAAGCTAGATTGGAGAATCGAACAAGGCTTTTCTTTGCCTCATCCGGACATTTCATTGCTGACATTTCATTGGCCTGAACTAGTCACATGGCTCAACCTGACTGACCTAGAGGGCTGGGAGGTATAACTTCCTGTGTGCCTGGCTAAAAGGATCGTGAAAAATGATTTGGTGAACACATAGCATTGTCTCTAGCACAGTGTTCAGTATTAGAAATAAACTATGTGAGTGTTATAGGATCCAAACTTTATAACCAAAGTAAGATTGTTCAAACGAATGCCTCTATTTCCATTTCTATAAAATACAATGTTATGCCCTTAAAGTCAAAAGAAAAAAAGAAAAACCTTCCTAATGTTCCTGCAAGACAATTCTTGAAACAAATTCTTCCTTTCTGGAAAGGTTTCTCTCTTCAGATTTGTAATATACAAAAATCTGGCCCAAAGGTTGGAGAATCAGACTAACTGCTGTATCTTTCAATTAATAGTTAAGACTAAGTGGTTCTATTTTTGTCTATAATTTTATATAATGAATGAATAGCATATCAGACCTGGTACTTTTTTTTTAATAGACATCAAGGAGATGGAGTATGAAATGTATATTCACAGAAAGCTCAGGTGTATGCTGATTCTTATAATTTTATTTCTACTTTAGTGCATCTCCAAAACCTGAATCTCTCAGATGTGTTTATATCTGAAGCTGAAACCCTTTCTAATGTCAAATTGGCAGACTTGGAATTTCCAGTTTTCATGATGGCCAATTCAAAAGGCAATACAGTTCATTTCATTAACTGTTATTTAAGTCTCCTCAAATATAACATCTATTAACAATAAATATTACAAAGCACTTTCCCCAATTTATATCACTTAAATTTATCAACAACTCTGGGAAAGAGATTTTATTACTCAGATTTACAAATGAATAAAGTGAGACATAAGTAAGATCATTAAACTACTGAGTGGTGCTGATGAACTGAGAACTCAGATCACCTGACCCCGAAATTCTTGCTGAACATCCACTGAGGTATGGCACTTCTACCTATAGTTTCTTCCTGGTGAACCCCCGAGCACTTCCAGATGCTCCTTAAATGCCTTCACCTGTTAACACCAAACAACTCATTTATAAGGTTGACTAGAATGAAAATATTTTTAAAGTAATAGCTATTATCCATTATCATGTAAGAAACTATCCTTTCTGCATACTACCTCCTATGTACGGTAGTAAATATAAAAAGAAACCAAAATCCCAGGATTTTTGAGCTCAAAGTAATTACATTCATAATTTTTTTTAACTAAATGATTTAGTTGAATGATCTCTAGATCACAGCAGACATACCAAATGAGACTTTTTGAAAGAATTATCACTTTCATTTGAAGTCCCAATTGTGCTCAAATATAGATGTAAGTAATTATTTAATTTCTGACTTTCTAGACAGAAGCCAGAACCCTGCATATTGACTCAAAATAAATTCACTAGATTCTTTTTTACTTCACTTCCATCAGTTCACCTTTGTTAACAATCCCTTCATGACAGTCACATAGGCTTACGACCAGCAGGAAACAAAGATTTGACCTTGAATCCATCATCAACCAGAGAATCAAGAATTTTAAGTTTCTTAGTGGCTAGAATTTGCCATTAAATCTTTATTAATATACATCTGTTTTACATACAACTTCAGTGTGCCTTTTAGTCTCATTTATAGAGACTGTATCATCTGCAAATTCAATAAACAAGTAGCCACAGTCCAAAGGTATGGGACCCCAGGAGAACTACATGGATGATGATGGCAGGATCTCCCCTCTAAAGGCACTTTAAAAAGTTAAGTTTGGTTATTTGGGTAACCAATTAAGAGATAAGGGAAAGTGAACCTACATAAAAGTATTCCACTATTGGGCCGGCCAAGTGGCTCAGTTGGTTAAGAGCTCGCTCAAGAGTTTGAGCTCTGAGCAACAGCGTGCGGTTCGAGTCCCGGCCCAAGCTGAGCAGCCGCTGAGCTGCCAACAGGTGGCAGGATGGCTCAGCTAAAAAAAAAAAAATTCCACTATTAAGTAAAAAAGAAATGATAGAATATCCCAATTTTACAACCTCCTGTGAATTAGGCATTATACATCAACATCTCCAAAGATCATAAAAAGAGAGAGAACTAGACATTATGCGCCTCTTGAGGGAAGATCACACCACCCCCTAAAATGCAGCTAAAGGAATCAAACCTAAATCTGATCTAGACTTGAGATCCAGCGGCCAATTTATGGGAAGCAGTGAACAGGAACATGCTGAGCTGTGCCATGATCACGCAATTTACAAAGTCCTGACAATGGGAGTCTCTTCAGGTCAAATGGCCTCTGTGCTTCAAGAGATAAATTGTAAAGTTAAAAAAAAATTTTTTTAAAGATATATAAAAAAAAATTTTTTTAAGTGTGTGTATATATGTGTGTCTAGGGGCTAACACATGGGTGGTAAAACCATTAAAGGAAAAGGGAAGTGAAAGGGATTACTATAAAAGTTAGGATAATGTTATTTATTAGGTGGTAGAGGCAGGGAAATGGTTGTGATTGAGAAGGAACACATGGAAGGGGTTTCTAAGTCAAGTTCTGTTTCTTGACTGGATTGATGGTGATTACAAGGGTGTTTGCCTTAGAAAAGTTCCTTAAGGCAAACATTTCCTTGGTGCTGTCTTCTGTTTCTGTGTTTTATTTTATGATAAAAAGACCTAAGAGCTGAAATATATTTTCTCCAGGAGGAGCTACTTGCAAATGTATCCATTTGGTTTCCTGGGACAATGTTAAGTTTCAATTACTCTAAAAAGAAAAATAAATGCTTAAAATATCCTTTGAAAGATATTCCACATTGTAATACAATTTTGGAATTTTATTTAGATATTCTGACTTTTTAGAAGGTAATGGGTAAGTAGGTAGTAGAGTGTATTTTGAGTGTTAGAGAAAAGGTAAAATGAAATAATGAAAAGATAAGGAGACTAGAACAATTCCTTGATGTTTAATGGTTAAATTCCAGTAATGGTCAGGAGAGTAATCTATAAACATTTCCCATTGAAATAATGATGAAGGCATGAGCTCCCCCCACTTTCCCCTACCTACATGCCAGAATAATGTCTCAGTAGTGCATGACTTTTTAAAAGTACATAGAATGAAAAAAAAGTACATAGAATGCTGAACTTGAGATTCAAGAATCAAATAAACCTGTGTAAATAGAAGTCCCATGGGGAGTCAGAATGGGGGAATCAGAAAACGTAGACGCATGTTTCCCTGAGCTCCAGAGGCTGCGTGGGTGTAAACTGATAATATGTTTATCTCTCATTACTCCTGTTACCAGTTTACAAACAGACTCTGACCTTCCAATCCCATGCCACAGCTCTGCCAGCTCACATTGCCTCTGTGTGTGCACACACGTCTCATTCTTGAACCCAGTACTGAGAATGCTGGGAAGTTGTTTTTTTTTAACCTTATATGAGTTTTAAATAAACTGCATTTGAAAAGAAAACAAACAGACAAGCCCTAAAATATGTTATTCAAACTAGGATTTGAACCAATGAACTTTAAGCTTAGGAAATAGACTCGGTCACCCACTGAGCCACCACAGAAAAACCCCAGGTTCTTTTTTTATTTTTTTTTTAATTATTAGTTTCAGTTGTACAAAACAATGTAATAGTTAGACATTTCACCCCTCACAAAGTGATAACCCCCACCCCCCAATCTATTGTCCCTCTGGCATCATATGTATCTATTACAATTCCTTTGACTCTATTCCCTATGCTGTACTCCATATCCCATGACTATATACATATATATATATATATAAAATTATATAATAGTTGACATTCAATATTATTCAGCTTCAGCTTCAGGTGTACAGTCAGTGGTCAGGTATCTACACAGTCTATGAAGTGGTCTCCATAATAAGACATGTGCCCATCTGACACCCTATAAAATCTTTATGATATAATTGATTATATTCCCCAAACTGTCTTTCCGGTTCTTTTACCTTGCTCAGATCACACCTCCTCCTTTCCCCAAACTTTCAATAATTGAGAAAAGGCAACATCCATTTACCAAAGATGTATCTTGGCCCCTTCCCTGTACTCGCTGAGAAATTTTAAAATGAAAAAGAAACAGATAAACCACAAGGTAAATAATGGGACCTAGGCAAATTCAGAAAGATTTCTCCTTCTGATTTACCAAGAACCCAATGTATTTTCCTTCCTTATTTGATGCCTATGTGGAAATAAGTCAGTGTTTGTAAATATACAAGGTATATGGAAAGGAAATATAAAATCATGAAGTGATATCGGATTCATAAGGCAGGATGATGTAGTGAAAAAAAATTGGAGAAGAGTCAGATGACCTCAGTTTGAGGCCATTCCACCACTTACTGACTGAGCAAGTCACGCGTGAGCTTGGGTTTCCTACTGTGTAAGATGATAACTGACCTATCTTTGCCACGTGATTGTTATGAAGAAGAGAACATAATCAAAATGTATGTAAAAGTATTTCAAAACCTCAAAACACTAGAGAAATTTAAGTTACTATTAGTAGTAACGTTATGCACACACTCCATCCAAACCAATATTATCTTTAAAAGGAGCACCCAAAGACTTTTTTGTGAGATAAAATTGCCCTCCTTAATTTCAACCATAAATTGTATATTAAAATATACTGGTTTCTTTAACATTTATTATGCAGTTTGAATGAAAATAAAAACATGTTACAGTGGCAAAATATTTTTAATATTTTCTCCTTTTATGCATAATCACTGATAAAAACAGAGTTCTTATTTTAAAGAGAATTTGATATCTGATATCTTTTCTTAAGGAGACATTTAGTTCTCTATCAAAAGTGTCCCAATTTTTTGTACATTTTTTAATGGTATAGTAAGTAATTGCCCTCATAGATTCTTATTCTTAAAAGGTTGCCAAACACACACTCACACACACACACACACACACACACACACACACACACTCCTAGGCTGGATCTGGAAGGACTTACTAACTCAGTTCTTCTTTAGCTGCTCTTTGATTTTTTTTTTAATTGGGGAACAGTGTGTTTTTCCAGGACCCATCAGTTCCAAAACAAATAATTGTTTCAATCCAGTTGTGGAGGGCAAAACTGAGTGGCCCATGCAGGGATCAAACCGGCAACCTTGGTGTTATGAGCCTGCAATCTAACCAACTGAGCTACCAGCCACCTCGATTTTTAATCATATGATAGCAACATCTGAACAAGGTTGAAGAGAGCAATTGCAGAAAGCTCCTCTTCTTGCTCCAAATCTCTATAGCACTTACACTTAAGTTTAGTAATTTCAGTTGTTCTCTCTTGCTTTTTATTTACTGTAAATGGAGGTAGGCCCATAAGATGCTGAAAATTAGTAGATGTTCAACCTTGGGTTGGAAATCATACACTTAGAAATTGACTTTGAGAAGGAGTCAGGTGCGAGAAGGCTGAACAGGGATTAAGGAGATCTGATATCAGGTACCAGACTGGTCACCTTTGGGTCGGTCATTAATGAGATCTCTCTGTCTCATTTCTTTTCATCTGAAAATTAGGAGTTTTGGACCAAATGATTGCTGCCATTTGTTGACTGCCTTCCATATGGTACTGTTAAAAGATAAACTGAGGCATATGAAAAATTTTAAGAGTTGGAGTAAAAATCAATTTGAATAGGGTCACATCTAGTCTAGCAGATAGAAAGGAGCTCCAAGAAGCTGTACGAAATGAAAGAAAGACTTTTACAGGCAGAAGGGAGGAGAACAAGGAAGTTATACTGGCCAAAAAATGGGTTGGTTATTACAAAGTTACTTTCCTTTAGGGGATGACAGGGGTCCATCAGGCAGATTACCTGACTAGTGCTGATCAGGTGATTTCTGTTTGACTGGTTTAAGATTCTATTTCTGGGAGAGCCCAAGCTGTAGTTAAGCCGCAGTTTGCTGACATGGGGCTTAGCATAAGCGACTCCATTTTAGGCCTATTGTCTTGTTTTCAACAGTATGCAGGTACTAGTTCTAATTCTTCTAGCAGCTTGGCAAGACAGGCCTTGTTAGTCCCATATTACAGATATAGAAATCAAGGCTCAAAGAGATGAAGTTATAATATCATTTCAGGTCACATTAGGTGAGCTCCATGGAACCATTTCAGCTTTAAAATTCTTGGATTCTATAGAGAGAAAAACACCCTTTGGGCTATGTTTCCCCTTTAGAAATTATATTTAGGAGTCAGTTATGAAATGCCAAAGGTGGAAAGGGCCTTCAGAATTGTCAGTGCCAGGTTTTCACTAGTTAAGAAGGAATCTAAGGTCCAAAGAGGATCAAAGACCAGCCCACGGTTGTGATTTATTTTCTCTTTTGCCCATAATGCTCATTGTAATCTGATTCTACCTGGATAGAAATATATATATAGGAAGGTGGGTCAGGAAGTGGGAATTGGCCTGAGTTTCAAAAGCTTCCTAAAGATGACCTTGGTTATATGTGCAAATATTGTCTGTCCAAAGAAGCAGAATTTCCAAGATGTGAAGGTCACTGCAGGACATTTCTTCTTTTTAGAAAGGTATAAAATAAGGGTGGTGAAACTTTTCCACCCAGAACCACTGAAAAGTCAAAGAAGAGTCACACATAATTAAAAAGCAACTAATTTTAGATTAAACAGTTGTGCTCATTTCCCCATGTTTGCTTTATTTATTTAACTATTTTGTTGAACTATTTGAAACTAAGTGGCAGACAACATGACATTTCACCCCAAAATACTTCAAGATGCAAACCCTAAAAATAAGGACATTCCTGTATGCCTATAATAGTATTATTGCACCTAGGAAAAGTAAAAATAATTCCTTAATACCATTTCCTTTTGAGGGGGAGGGGATGCCAAAACCAGGGAATGAGCAATACCATTTTTTAAAAAAATATTTTATTGGGGAATTGGGAGAGGGGAACAGTGTTGAAAGAGGGGAATCGAGGAAGGGGAGGAGACAAGTTGCTGTTCTTTGGTTCTTCAGTCTAGTTGTGGAGGACGTCGCCTCACTGGCCCATGTTGGTATTATCATTGCGCTCTTCCTGGGTGAGGCAGATGGGTCACTGGCCTCTAGACAGCCGCTCACAATGGCTCTTGGCAGCTCACACTGGCTGCTGGCCACTCACGGTAGCTTATGTCAGCCCACTGCAGCAGAAGCTGCAGCCTACACCATCTCCAACGACTCACAGCATCCCAGCTCCAGGTTGAGCTGTTGTTCACCATCTTAGCTGTAGAGGGCAGTGTCACTGGCCCTCATGTGGGATCCGAACCAGGGCCCTGCTGCACGGAGCTGGCATCCCAAGCCAGCTCTTAACCAACACACCACTCGGCCGGCCCCCAATTTTTTTATAGCAGTTTTTTTCTTTAAAAACAGAACAAAACAAACAAAAACCAGATCCAAATTTTACATATTGCATTTGATTGTTTTATCTTTTTAACTTCTTTTATTTTAGAAAGGTCTCCCCATCTACCCACTATTTATCCTCCTATAATACTAGTTTTTTAAAGAGGTTAGACCAGTTATATTATAGAATGTTTTCATGACTTTTTCTGACTTATAACAATTCCAATTTTATTCTACTTTTGGAGGATTTTTTTGGTCTTCATCTTTCAGTGTATAATTTTTTACTGAATTTTAATGTTATACTCTTCGTAATTTCCAACTATTCTTTCTTGCTCAGATTGTTCCTTCTTTTAGCATCCTGTTCTTGTTTCAATATTTCTCTGATGATACTATAATTTCTTTGAAGTATTGTTAAGCTCCCTGCATTGTCTCTGTTTCCTGTGATTCCTTTTTTCCCTGTGATTCTTACATGTTGGAGTTTTTTTTATTTTTTCATGTTGAAGGTTTTCTCTGGTATCTGGTGGTTTTTGTTCACTCATATATATATTTTAAACTTTACTGGGGAACAGTGTGTTTTTTCCAGGACCCATCAGCTCCAAGTCAAGTCATTGTTTTCAATCTAGTTATGGAGGGCACAGCTCACTGGCTCATGTGGGAATCGAACTGGCAACCTTGGTGTTATGAACACTGCACTATAACCAACTGAGCTAACTGGCCACCCCTGTCCACTCATATTTTGGAGCTGATTGGAAGCTCTGAGTGTGTAGTTTGAATCTTGTCAATTGAAGGGATTCACTATAAGCTTTTCCTATGGGGATCCCTAAATGTCAGTATCTGTGGCTCTTTTCTGGCTTAGTTCATTTTTTCTCTGAGAAGTATCCTTTATTTTCTGCTAGAGAGCAGAACTGGCTGTGAAGTTCTGTATCTGTATAGGAGAAGAGGCCTGGGTGTCTCGCCTTCTGTTTCAGACTTAATTTCTCTCTTTTCAGTAAGATGTCTCATTCCCATTCTAATCTATGCCTGGGATCTCCACACCTGGAACTCCTTTGGTTTACTTTCTCCAGAGGTGACATTTCCTATTTCCTATAGAGGTAAATTATATCAGGTGGGGTGTGGAGGTAGGGAAACTGACCTCTTATATACACAGATTTTCACACAGATCTCCCCTTTCAGCACTGCACTGATCGCATCTCCACGCCTCTAACTTCCCTCTGCACTTTATCTGCTTCTGATTCCTGAGTCTTTCCAAGGTCCCTACGGGTGAACTGCCTTGCTTCTCCTTGGTCTCTCCTTCTCCAAGCACTTAGGCTTGACCTTTCTTGGGTCTGCTAAGTTCTTTACCATCCTCCATCCATTTTCTATTTTCATGCATTGTGGTTTGGGGTGACTCGCAGTTCAATCAAGATGAAATCTGTGGTTCTGGTTTTTCATTTCCATCTTGTTATTTTTGAGAGAATATCTCAGCTATCTTGAATTGGAAAAATCTTCATTTTTCTTTTTTAGTTCTTCGAATGCATTGAGTTCTTTACTGCCTTTGGGCTTTTGCACTTGGTGTTTTAGCTTTCTGAGATATTCTTTTCTTCTCCCTCAACTTCCCTCTTGGCCAATTCCAAGTCATCTTTTAGGTCTCAGCTGAAGCGTCATTCCTAGATGAGTCCTTCCTGACCACCTACCTAGATTAGATTAGGCCCTGTCCCCATGGTATATTCTCATACCCCCTACCATGACTCTAAAGAAATGGATGTGCCTATTTCCCCTACTAGACTGTCACCTCCACAAGGGAAGGGACCATTTCTATCTTGACTCCTATCTCCCCAGTGTCTAGTGCAATGCCTGGTATTCAGGAGGGGAATCAATATATATTTTTCATTGTTGATCAACATATATTGCTTACTGTGAGGATTTGTAGCTTCATTTACAGTTGCCACTACCAGTAAGTAGTTATTTAGAATTCAATAATTCTAGTTATTATTATTATTATTGTTTAGTTATTGTTATGGAAACACTATAATATGGACTTTTGTCTATTTCTAAGTTTATTTCACAATGAACACTTTAAAAATTATTGTATAATGTACTAACAATAATTTAATATGTACTCAGATTAATATAGTTTATACCTTTTGTATTGCTGAAACAAATGACCACAGACTAAGTAGCATAAAACAACACAAATTTATTATTTTATAGTTCTGGAAGTCAGAAGTCCAAGGTTGGTTTAGCACGTTGCATTCCTTAGTTTCCTTGCCTTTTTTAGCTTCTGGAGGTTGCAGGCATTCCTTGGCTCATGGTCCGTTTCTCACATGGCTTTGACCTTTACTCCCATTGTCACACCTCCTTCTCTGACTCTGACCGTCTTACCTCCTTCTTATAAATACCCATATGATTCGGTTGAGCCCAGACAATCCAGGTTAATCTCTGTTTCAATAGCCTTAATTTAATCACATCTGCAAAGTTCATTTTGCCAGTCAAGGTAAAATAGTCACGAGTTTTGGGGATTAGAATGTGGACATCTTTGGGGGGGCCATAATTCAGTCTACCACACACAGACAACAAAATGTGGACCCATAGATTAAGTCATTGCTGAAAGAAATGATAAACACTTCACTCAAATATTTTATTTTATTTATT